CTAGACGTGGATGACTACAGTGTTTAGTTGAAAAGACATGAGAGGACCGCTGATAGCACTTAGCTTTTAACATACTGCTTCATGCACTGTGCTTCCACTCCAGGACTTTTATCTATTTATTTTTAATGTCTCATAAACATTTGAATTGATTTAAAATGTTCTGAGGGACAAATTTAGTCTAGATTACTTCTGATTGGATCACGTCCAAACTCCTCCCACCTTTCTACACAACGTGTCTCTCCAGAATATTTTCATCTTTCATCATATTTTCATTCACATTAGTTTTTATTTAGTTATTGTCTTGTTGTTGTTGAGGGGGAAAACAAGTCGCTGACAAAAATGATGACAAAGAGTTTTGATCAAAGATATCGACACTGTTTTGAAGGATTGAGAAAATTAAATCTAAGCTCGAGGAACAACAACACACTTTCAAGAGTAGCCCACGTTACCATCTGCGGTGCATGTCTTTGACACTGCCCCCTGGTGTGGACCGTTTTTTATTTTTTTAGCTGCAACCTCAATGCTGTCTGTAGGAGATTAGCTTCAGTGTAATTCAAGCATGTGTAAATAAGTTGCTCTTTATGTGGGAACTTCCTATTTTTGTCTCTGTACGTGCATTATTGATCGTCTTCGGAGGAGTGCTGGCGTGCAGCAGCTCTGTGGACGGACGGCTGCAGCTGCTGCTTTCTCAGGACGCTTTCATTCCTTCCACCAACACGGAGACTGTCTGAGTGCATAAGTTGGACCTTAAACACGAGGGGAGGATGTGTCAATAAACAGGCGACACCATTATAATTATGGCTGAGACAGAGAAGACTGTAGAAGTTAGGAGGCGAGGGATTGTTGGGTGACTTTGCCCTGCAGGTGTGACAGAGGAAGTTCAGCTTATCAGATTGATGGAGACTGTCTCGCTGTTGGGGGGGAGAGAGGTGGGAGGGGAGGTAGGAGGGAGGGGAGAGAGGGGGGGGGTTGGCAGAAAAGTGTCTGTCGACTCCTCCTGATACCTGCCTCCCTGTCTGAGATGATATGGGAGATAATATTGATAATATTAAACGCAATAACTGTGTCTCCAGCTCCCCTCCCTCGCTTCAGCCCCTGCAGGATAAAATCAATGTGCCATTCAATGTGATTTATAGCTGAAAATAATGGCACTGTTTAGGCGGGGGTGTGAGTGGGGGAGGGGGACGCGGCGTTTGTGCGTGTGTGTGTGTACAGTATGTCTTGGCTGAGTGTTTGCGTGTGGATATGGTTGAAAGGTGGACGTGACGTGAAACTGGATGTGCATCCTGTGCGTGTGTGTGTGTGTGGATTTATTTGACGGTGCACATCCACCCAGCCTCTCAACTGTGTTACATTAATAACGGCGGCGTGTGAGGGCATCACGTGGTCACGAGGCGTTTATGGCTGGTATCGATCGGGCGCTATCGCTGTTTATCGGAGCGGGAATGCAAGGGTAAACACGGCCTTTGTGCAGACAGCTGAGGCGTTATCGGGGTGGAGGGTGAAGACGGGGCGGGATTTGGGGAAGGGGAAAGAGATAGGAAAGGAGAGGAGAGAATGAGGAAGGAGGAAAAGGAGCCGTGAGGACGACGATTCAAAACGCGCAGTCGCGGGGAAGCTTCGTTAAAGCTTTGTGCTGTTCCAGTTAATTCACACTGGGAGAAGTTGAAGTAAAGCAAAAGCAGAACTTGGGAGGATTTTGTGTTTGTT